CCCTTCATACAACTTGTACACAGGGTATGTATAAGTACAATTTACACACCCTTCATAAATCTAGCAAATTAGACCTCGAAGAATTCAAAAACAGAACAGAGAGATGCATGCCGCAGGGAAGAACCCAAAATAAAACAAAAAGAAGAACGAAGAACCACGAAACAGAATTACAGCAGAAGCATAAATGTTCCCATTCTAAGGACAAATTCATAAAGTTCCTCTTATCAAAATTTTCAAGTTCTTAAATGACAAAGCTAATTCAATTTCTATAATAAATCATGCATCTTGTATTATATTTCATATTCAATATAGAACTTGTCAAAAAAAGATTTATTGAAACATTAAAATAAATTATTCAAATATTCTTCAGTCTAGTCTCCATTCCAGGGCAACTGAATGACACATGATGCAACCTGCATTCACACCATATCATCTTTATGACACTTATGATCTTGTCCGAATGTGCTACAAAATGCAAGAGAAAAAAAAATGTAAATATTTTGGGAGTGATATATAACACAATTATAAGATAGCAATATGGCATTCTGACCAAATTCTTCACATCCAAACTCATTGTTTAAAATTTCCATGCAATGCTTTCATCTAAGCTTAAATTCAAAACTGCATCGATGACATTTAGTGGCAATAGAGATCCAGAAATCTGTTTAACACACTTCAATTTTGGATTTCTATGATGAGTAATTAAAAGTAAAATAAATCCCCATTGAGGCCCCCTCTCTCCTTGTCTGCAGCCCACTGAGTTACAAAAATCTTACTTCCCAAACATCAATAAGCCAAAGAGAGGAGCACATTTTCCTATTTGATTTTGTCATACGTGCAAATGTAATCCAGGATAAGAAATTATTGAACATAACCTCAAACATACAACTCCCTTGAAGTGCATCAAGTGATTCCAAAACAGGCCTATTTTTTTAAGAGATTCCAACGTAACTGTCGGGCCTATTTTTTAAGAGAGACCACACCAATTGTGATCAATTTGAAAAAAGCAGGTTGTTGCTTCTGGTATGTGATCTCTAAAAGATGAAGGAAATTAACAACATCAGCTGAACCTTTATCAAGTCTCTTCACAATCTCCTCCAGTCTCTTCAAATTGGGATCAATTTGAAAAAAGCAGAGGGTGGTAAAATATAAAGGCAAAATGGGCTCAAAAATGATTAGGTTGTTGCAATGGCTATCAGGAATGTGGTAAGAGCCGAGGCCAGCCAAATGAAGCGGAGGCGCTCTACCCGGTTGCACACTGCTTGTAAGGGTAAGGGAGAAGCAGAATAGGGATAACAAGAGTGTGCCATCCAAAGGGAGAGCAAAATGGCTTCCAAAATAACATCATTGTCCGTATACCAGCAAAGAAGAACAGGGGATAAAATCATTTTGAACAATAACATCAAGCCTATATCCCACTATGTGGGGTCACTGGTCAGCTACATAAATCATTTTTTCTCCATTATGTCATATTAAGAATCAAATTCTCATTTAAATCTAATAAAAAAAATATCATTTCTAATATTTTCTAACCAAAACATTTTAGTTATACCTCTACCTTTCTTAATATAAGCCAAATCTATGACCCGGAAGGTCATTTTATTTGACAAAGCCATCTAAAACAACTCTCTCTACTCTTACATGTCAGTGGAGCTATTCTAACATTTCTAGTACATGCTTGTTTTGCATTCTTTCTCTAAGAGTAAAGCCACTCATCCACCTGAGTATCTTCATCTCTGCCACATTAACTTAATTTTATGCTTCACTTTTATCGGCCAAAATTCTGCACAACAAAATAAATAAATAAAAAGATCCAATGAACCCACAATAACAACCATTACCACCAAAATTAGAAGTATAAATTTGGAGCATTGCCGCCACTATAAAATTTGGAGCATTGCCACCACTATAAAATTTGGAGTAATATAATCAACAAGTTGAGGGATTTTTTGGGCTAAGTAGACAAATATTTCAAAAAAAGAGAAAAACTCTTAGAACTTTTATCCAATGCTTTTCATCTAAAGCTAGAATTTAGAACAACATACATTTGCCAATGGATCTTAATTTGTGAAGAATATCTAGGTTCTCCGTATTAGCAAATGTATGGCCTTTGAGGAATTGTAAGCAGCCATCCTCCTCCAAACCCTCTAATCTCAACATTTCCTCCTTTTCAGTCACCTTTGCAGGAGGTGTAGAGATTGCACGAATTCGGCTCCTTCGTGGCTGTTCGAATTCCCTCCTTCGACAACTTTCCCTTCCTGTAGGATCGGAAGTTACAACATTTTGATTGGAAGCAACAATGGAAGCTCTCACTGGCTGTGAAGATAACTTTCTACCTTTCGTGCGCTTCTTCGGCCAAATCCCACAAATCCACCTAACCGAGGGATTTAGTAAATCCGGGATTTAAGCTGTAAATCCTTAATTCCGGGATTTAACCATTGCCGGTATTTAATGCGAGCACAAAAACCGTTTCGCTGGATTTAGCGTAAATCCAACTTAAATCCCAGCCCCTAAACATCGACTTCCTTAGAAAGAGAGCAGATGAAGACAAAACCTAATAGGAAGTACAGCTTAAACTCTACTTCACGCAAAGCCGAAGCAGCAACGAAGAAATGCCGCTGAGGAAAAGCAAACCCTAGGCAGCCCTAAGGCTCTAGGAAGAACATAGACAAAAACCAAAAAGAAGACAAATTATAGCGTAGTCACTCCTATCAGTTTTTCTTATTTTTGTTTCTCTTTTTTTTTCCCCTATTTTTACAAGCAATATAAGATCTCGAGAGAAATAGAATCAGCCTATATGATAAGGAAATTCATGTGCGCCATCCGGAGCTACGTCGGCACTCCGCTCCTAATAATTTCTCCATCCAGAGAGCGACAGCTTCCAAAAAAACAATCAATGAACAGACGTTACGGCAAAGAAGAACATGCAAAGAAAGAAAAAACCCAACTACACGCAGCAGGGCCAACACCCAAAAAACCTCCATCATGATGAAGCAGCTAGAAGATCGTTCTCAGAGCCAAAAAAAAACACCGAAAT